AGTGGCCTGTACAGCTGCAACATGACCTTCCAACTCCTGTACTTAATGCATTGACCAATAAAAGTAAGTGTACCAAACATCTTCTTCTCTATGCTGCCTACCTGCAAATCCACTTTAAAGGAATTATGAACCTGTATCCCACGCTCTCTTTGTTCGGCCACACTCCCCAGGACCCTACCATTAAGTGTATAAGTCCTGCCCTGATTTGCCTTTCCAAAATGCAGCACCTCACATTCATCAAAATTAAACTCCATCTGCTACACGTCGGCCCATCTCGTCAAGGTCCCACAACAGGAACAATAAAATTACTGATAAACACACAGCCAGTCATAGTATTTATTGTTTGCTAATTAATAGGAAACTCTGAAAAATAGTTTTCGCCCAGGATTCTTATTTTGTTATTACAGTCTTGGTTCAAACATGGACAAAAGAGCTGAATTCCAGAGCTGAGTTGAGACCGACTGACATAAAGGCCACATTCAACTGAGTCTGGCATCAAGTGGCAAAATTAGAGTAAATAAGAATCAGTAGGTCAAATCTCCTCTGGTTAGAGGCTTCTTTAACATAAAGGAAGATGGTTGTGGTTGTTGGAGGTCAGTCATCTCAGCTCCAGGACATCTCTGCAGGAGTTCCTCACGGTAGCGTCCTCAGCCCCACCATCTTCAGCTCCTTCATCATAAGGTCAGAACTGGGAACGTTCACCGATGATTGCACAATGTTCAGCACCGTTCGCAACTCCTCAGATACTGAAGCAGTCCGTGTCCAAATAGCAGCAAGATATGGACGATATCATGACACACAAATGCCAGGCGATGACCACTGGCAACAAGATCACTGCTTAATGGTCCAATGACATTATCATTTTTAATATTGTCATTATGAACATGGTGAGTGGGGGTTACCATTCTCCAGAAACTGAACTAGCCAAAAATGCAGTGGCTTACATACAAGAGGAGGTCAGAAGCTAAGAATCCTGCAGCAAGTAACAAGGCTCCTGACTTTTGAAAGCCTGTCCACCATCCGGATATGACAGGGATGTTTAAGGGGCTTTTAGATAAGCACATGAATATACATGGGGTGGAGGGATATGGACCAAGGGCAGGCAGGGAGAATTCGTTGAATTTGGTGTCATGTTCGGCACAACATCGTGGGCAAAATGGCCCGTTCCTGTGCTGTACAGTTCTACCTTCCATCCACAAGGGACAAGCAAGGGTTTTATTGGTGCACATTTGGAGGGCTGTATCTCCAAGAAGCAACAGAAGGCTTGACACGATCCAGGATAAGGTAGACCACTGGAATAGCGTCCCATCCATGTTTGTCCACATTGAGTCTCTTCACCACTGATGCACCAAGCCGTCGCGTCTACAATGCGTGTGACTCACCAAGGCTGCTTCAATGGCACATTGCAAATCCACCTCCGCTACCACCCAGAAGGACAAGGGCAGCAGGTAAATGGGGACAACTTACCATCTTCATATGGAACCAGATCCCTGTCCCCTGAATTTCACCGGGTCAAAATCATGCGACTCCTTTCCGAACAGAAACGTGGCTGTCCCTATGCAGTTGAAGAAAGCATCTCCTCCACCATCTCCAGGGGATTCAGGGAAGGGGAGATACTTGCAATCCAAACTAGCAACAAACCACGCATGGTCAAATAAAAAGGTTTGGATATTTAAATTAATGCCAAAGATTCTCCAGTCCCTTCTTATAAAAGTATGGAGTATTAAAGGAGGTGTGTTTTTGTTCAAACGATACATCAGGCATGAGTTAAGACATCAGCTGGAGTGCTGTGAACCGTTTCGGGCCACGTATCCAAGTAAAAATATCCTGGCATTGGAGACAGTCCAGAGAATGTTCACAAAATTAATTGGGCATGGAGAGACTGTCTTTTGAGGTTGAGTAGGTCCAGCCTGTACTCATTGGAGTTTAGACAAATGAGATGAGACTTAATTGAAACAGACAAGATTCTGAGGGGGGTTTGACAGGGGAGATGCAGAGAGATTGTTTCCCCTTGTGGGAAAGTCTAGGACCAGAGGGGCATCATCTAAGAATATGGGGTCACACATTTAAGACAGAAAGGAGGAGGATTTTCTCTCCTAGCTGAGTGAACCTCTGGAATTCTTTACAACAGAGGGCTGTCGAGGCTGGGTCATGGAGTATGTTCAATGCTTACTGAGAGGAAGGGAATTGAGGGTTATGGGGAAAAGGCAGGGAAGTGGGCGTTGAGGATGATCAGACTTGATGGGCTGATCAGCCTACGTCTGCTCCCATACCTTATAGTCTCTTTACCCTTGTCCAACTTGTGGACAGTTCTTGCAGAGTATTACTTCTGCCAAGTCTTTAATAGTCCCAAAGCACAGTGTTATCCATGTTACAATAATTTTACTCGCTTTTTGAACACAAGCAGTGTGCTTAATTCTATCATGATACTTCTGAGGTCTATTTCTCAAAGAGGTATGTTTCATGTCATGTCTTTGTTTAAGAAGGTTTGTAAGGAGAAACCTGGGAGCCACAGACCTCTGAACCGGACATTAGCGGTGGGTACGTTGTTGGAAGTGATTCTGAAAGATAGGATTTATACGCAGTTGGAGAGGCAAGGAATGATTAGGGGGAGTCGGCATGATGTTGTGCGAGGGAAATCGAGTCTCACAAACTTGATTGACTTTTTTGGAGGAAATAACCAAGAAGATTGATGAGGACAGAGCAGTAGACATGGTTTAGTTCAGTAAAGCCTTTGACAAGGTTCGGCACGGTAGACGAATTAGTAAAGTTAGATCACATGGAATTCAGGGTGAGCTTGCCAATTGGATAATCAATTGGCTTAATGGCAGGAGACAGAAGATGGTGGTGAAGGGTTGTTTTTCGACTGGAGGCCGGTGACCAGCAATATTCCACAGGGATCAGTGCTAGGTCCACTTTCATTTGTCACTTATACAAATGATTTAGTTGAGAATACAGAAAGCATGGTTACTAAGTTTGCAGATGACACCAAGGTCGGTGGTATACTGGACAATGAAGAACGTTAACTGAGATGACAAAGAGATCTTGATCAACTGGGTCAATGGACTGAGGAGTGGCAAGGTGGTGTTTAATTTGGATAAATGTGAAGTATTCCATTTTGGTAAAACAAACAAGGGCACGACTTATACAGTTAAAAGTAGGGCCTCAGGCAGCATTGTAGAACAGAGACCTAGGGGTTCAGGGACATAATTCTTTGAAATTTACATCACATATAGTAGGGTGGTTAAGAAGGTGTTTAGCATACTTGCCTTCATTGCTTTGTGTATAGGGATTGGGTTGTCATGTTGAGGTTGTACACGACGTTGCTGAGGCCTCTTCTGGAGTACTGTGTCCAGTTCTGGTCACCTTGTTATCGATAGATTATTGTTAAGTTGGAGAGGGTTCAGAAGAGATTTACCAGGATGTTGCCAGGTATGGAAGGTTTGAGTTATAAAGAAAGGCTGAATAGTCTGTGACTTTTTTCCACTGGAGCGTAGGAGGCTGGGGGATGACCTTATGGAGTTTTTTAAAATCATGAGGGGTATATATAAAGGTTAATGGTGGGTGTCTTTTTCCTTAGGATGGGGGTATTTTTTAAGGAGAGAGAATTAAGAATGTCATGAGGGTCAAAATTTTTTTTTTTTTTTTTACACAGAGAGTGGTTCGTGTGTGGAATGAACTTCCTGAGGAAGTGGTGGATGCGGGTACAGTTACAACGTTTAAAAAACATTTGGATAAGTACACGAATGGGAAAAGTTTGGAAGGATATGGACCAGGAGCAGGCAGGTGGGACTAGCTAAGTGTTGGATTATGGTCAGCATGGATTGGTTGGACTGAAGGGTCTGTTCCCATGCTATATGACTCTCTGATTCTTTAGCGAGCGAGTGGTAAGGATGTGAAAGTCGCTCCCACAGCGAGTGGTTGAGTTGAGCAGCAGGAATATATTGAAGTGGAAGCTGGATACACACAGGAGGCAGAAAGAAGTAGAGAAGGACATGCTGATCAGGGCAGATGAAGAGGGCACAGTGGAATATAGATACTCAGAGTCAGTTGAGCTGACTGGGCTGGTCCTCTGTTGCAGACTCAAAGAAACTGCGGCAAATAGATTTCCTTTTTGAGTTACCTGTCGTGGGTAAAATAACTGTATACAATCCGTATACTGTGGAAGCAGGCCATTTGGCCCATCGAGTCCACACCAACCCTCCAAAGAGTGATCCACCCACTTGCCCTATCCCTGTAAGCCTGCATTCCCCATGGCTAACCCACCTAGCCTGCACATCCCTGGATATTACAGGACCATTCCAATCCACCATAGCCTGCACATCTTTGGATCATGGGAGGAAACTGGGACATCCGGAGGAAAGCCACGCAGACACAGGGGTGGGGGGGGGGGGGGCAGGAGAAGAATGTGAAAACTTCACACAGACTGTCGCCCGAGGGTGGGACCGAACCCGGGTCCCTAGCGCCGTGAGGCAGTGGTGCTAACCGCTGAGTCACCGCGCTGCCCGCTGCCTCAACTTCTGTGGATCATTTCCATGGGAATATGCAAACCCAGGCTCAAACAGCATCAGCTCCACTGGAAGCAAAGTGGGTGAGAGCGGCCAGTCCAGGAGAAAGACTCTCCCACTTCACCCACCGACCAAATGAACGTGACTCAGTCCTGGGTGTGAATTTCCCTCATTTTTAAAATCATGCATGCCACATGGGTGTCAATGTCTAGGCCAGCATTTATGGCCCGTCCCTAATCGCCCTTGCGAAGGTGGTGGTGAGCTGCCTTCTGGAACCGCTCCGACCCATGCACTGTAGGGACACCCAAATGGTGCTGGTGGGGAGCCAATTTCCAGGATTTTGACCCAGCGACTGTGAAAGCCTGGTTCTAAGTCAGGAAGGCGCATGACATTGCAAGCTCTCATTCCTCTGCTGTCCTTATTCTTCCAGCTGGCAGAGATTGAGAGTCTGAAAGGTGCTGAGTAACAGCAGATCCAAGTCCTGCAATCATTTGTGAACTTTCTTATGCTTCCACAGACTGGATGACTGAGTGAATCCTTTTCCACACTCGGAACAGATGAAAGGCCTCTCCCCAGTGTGAACCCGCTGGTGTTTCTGCAGGGCAGACGAATCTCTGAACCGCTTCCCACATTTGGAGCATCTGAACGGCCTCTCTCCTGTGTGGATTCGCTGGTGTCTCAGCAGGTTCGAGGACTGGCTGAACTCCTTGCCACAATCGGAGCAGCTAAATGGCCTCTCCCCGTTGTGAATCCGCTGGTGTGCGCGCAGGCTGGCTAACTGAGCGAATACCTTCCCGCACTCCAAGCAGGCGGATGGGTCCTCCCTAGCATGAGCTCGCTGGTGTCTCACTAGGGTGAAGTACTCACGGAATTTCTTCCCGCACTCCGAGCAGGTGAACGGCCTCTCTCCGGTGGCAGCGCGCTGGTGTTTGCGCAGGGAGGCCGAGTCAGGAAATCTCTCCCCGCATTCCGAACAGGTGAACGGCTTCTCCCTGGTGTGACCGCGCCGATGAAATTCCAGCGTTGACAGCGAATGGAATCCCTTCCCACAGTCCTCGCAGTTCCATGGCTTCTCCATATTGAGGATGTTCTCGTGTGCCTGTAGCTTCAACAATCAACTGAAGCCTTTCTCTCACGTACACATGCACAAACGTGTACAGTCTTTACCCACACAGAATGGTGCAATGCTTTTTCAGGCCCTGTGACTGGTTGAAGCTGTTTCCACAATCAGTTCACTGGAACACGCGCTCTCTCTGGTGTGCTTCCATGTTTTTGCAGTCACACTGATGTTTAAAACGTTCTGAAGCAGACAAGAACAGATGAATATTATTCCATCTATGGTTAATAGCAGTCAAATTCCGGTTAATAGCAGTCAAATTCCGGTTAATTTAGTGACTCTGAAAGATCTTCACATCATGGTTGCATTGAGATTTCCATCTCCTCCACTTCTAACATCCTGTGAAAGGAGTTACAGAAGTCATCGTGTCAGTACAGAATAGAATTTCAGAATAGACAGTTCTAGGTTCTATGGATGTTTTTTCCCTCTCTGTGCAAATACTGTGAACCTCCGTATGCACTCTGCTGTATCTATAGCGTACAGGTATTAACACTAGACATATAAATCCAGAGACCCAGGTAATGTTCTGGGGACTCAGATTCAAATCCCACCATGGCACATGGTGGAATTTGAAATCAATTTAAAAATAAAATCTGGAATTAAGATCTAATGATGTTGATTGTCAGGAAAAACCCACCTGGTTGACTAATTTCCTTTAGGGAAGGAAACTACCACCCTTACCTGTTCTGGCCTACATGTGACTCCAGACCCACAGCAATGTGGTTGACTCTTGACTGTCCTCTGGGCAATTAGGGATGGACAATAAATGTTGGCCTAGCCAGTGACGCCCTCATCCCGTGAATGGAAGAAAAATGCGCTACCTATTCTTTTGAAGGTACTGACAGATCATGTTCACTGCTTTCTGTCGAGGACACACAGGCCTTCCTGCAGTCTGTTGGCCTAAATATCTCCATCTACATCACTGTATGTTTACCACTATTAAGAGATATGGAGATGGTTAGGGGAAAAGGGATGCGAGGGAGAACTTTATTTCAGCATCGAGTGCTTGTAGTCAGGAAATTAGCATCTCTGAGGAAGGGGTAAGCAGAGAATCAATGACTTCCAATGGCAAGGAAATTGACTTGCTGAGCCACAGTGATATGGAGGAGGGAATGGGACAAAATAGATTGCTTCACGGTGTCAGCATGATCTCAAACTGCTGACTGGATTCCTGATGTATAGTGACCGTGACTGGAAATATATAAACACAACTACCTTATTACAGTACAAGGTCAGAAATGAAATTGACGGCCATAAATAATTTATTGCATATGTACCATCTAACAACTGGGTCAGCACTGCTGCCTCACGATGCCAGGGACCCGGTTCGACTCAACCATTTGGCGACCGTCTGTGTGGAGTTTGCACATTGTCCCCTGTGTCTCCATGGGTTTACTCCTACAGTCCAAAGATGTGCATTCTAGGTGGATTGGCCATGCTAAATAGTCCATAGTGTCCAGGGATGTGCAGGCTAGGTGGGTTAACCATGGGAAATGCAGGGTTATAGGGAAGGGTCTGGTTGGGATGGTTTTCAGAGGGTTGGTGCCAACTTGATGAGCTGAATGGCCTGTATCTGCACTGTAGGGGTTCTTCAAGCTACACAAATGTCTGTCACACATTCTGCCTACTTAAACTGCAGCTATCTTCCAGAGGAGCCACCCCTTTAATTGTGAAGATTAAGTAAAGACAAATAAATGCGTGAAGCTGAGAGACAGACAGCAAAGGATATCAACGTCTTTAAGAGAATGGCCTGAGTCAGCCTTTCCAGAGACTGCGGCCTCCCTTAGATGCACTTCCTCTCTCTACAGTTCCTGCAAGTCAGCAATTTAACCCCAGAATGGGAAAAGAAACTGCAAAGGAGAGAAAAAGACAATATTTTGCTCACAGATGTTGCAGAGAGGAGAAAGCTTCAGTCTGGGGTGAAGCTCAATCTTCGTTCAGAGAGAGATGGGCGGCGGCAGCAACCTTGCTGGGCAGGAATGGACCACTTTCAGAAGATTATTAGCCCAACTTCCGCATTCAAAAAAGGGGAGCTCTGATTGGCAGGAGGACCACCCCGCTTCTGGTCCTCCAGCTCTCTCCATTGGTTAGTTCTCCACAATTGTGTCGTTTTGGGCCCAGCGCGCCCCACGTGGGCAAGGTGGAACGTAGACCCCGTGACGTTCCGAACCGTCGACGAATAGGAAAGGAGGCTGCCCTGGAACGTTCCAAACCTCCAGCCAATCGCAGAGAGAGATCTGTCCCACCCCGCTCCCTGCACATGCGCAGATCTCCACCCTCTGAACATGTGCCCTCGCACGTGTACTACTGCAGTCTTGGGCCGACATATTGTTTGAAGACAATTAACTCTAATTTAATACCAAACTCATGGTCTACAGGACATCACTGCTACCTGAGATCCTGAATTCATTGGAGACATGGGCGATGCACAGCAGAGAGAAATATCATCAGAATTAGAATTAGGTTTTTGTCAGTGATACCTTTCCAAAACCCTGCAGATCTACTGGTGAAATAGGTGCCACAGTTCAAGTGTCCTACCTGTATCAAAGGATAGTGAAGAAGGCATTTGGTATGCTTGCCTTTATTGGTCATGTATTGAGTACAGGAGCTGGGAGGTCAAGTTGCAGATGTACAGGACATTGGTTTGACCACTTTTGGTATATTGAGTCTTCTTCCTACAGGAAGGATGTTGTGAAACTCGAAAGGAATCAGAAAAGACTTAAGAGGATGTTGCCAGGGTTGGCAGGTTTGAGTTAGTGGGAGAGGCTGAATAGGCTGGGTGCTATTTTCCCTGGAGTGTCGGAGGCTGAGGGGTGACCTTATAGAGGTTTATAAAATCATGAGGGACATGGATAGGGTGAATAGCCAAGGTCTCTTCCCCAGGGTAAGGGAATCCAAAATTAGAGGGCATAGGTTTAAGGTGAGTGGGGAAAGATTTAAAAGGGACCTGAGGCATAACTTTTTCACTCAGAGGATGGTAAGCATATGGAATGAGTTGCGAGAAGAAGTGGTGGAAGCTGTTATGATTACAGCATTTAAAGGGCATCTGCATGGGTACATGAATAAGAAGGGTTTAGAGGGATATGGGCCAAATACTGGCAAATGGGACTAGATTAATTTAGGATATCTGGTTGGCGTGGATGAGTTAGACTGAAGGGTCTGTTTCAATGCTGTTCAGCTCTATGATTCTAAGTAGCATCTGCCAAGAAGCCAAACGTTTTGAGAATCTCCAAGAGGCCCAGATGGAGAAGAAGTGTAAAGAATGAATGAAGCATCTGAAAACTCAAGCATCCCACCCACCCGCTTCAGAAAATATCATCTGCCGCACCAGTGGCAAGGTTTGTAGATCCAGTATTGAACTATTTCATTCCTTGGGACCCACAAAACCAGTATGGAAGAAAGTCATCCTCGACCCTGAGAAATTGCTCAAGATGGGATTTTACAAACTGCATGATTTAAGTACAGGATGAGCGTTCAGAACAGAGTATTCTGGATGGTATGAAAATACTTTTCACTGTAAAACTATAACCTACTTCCATCTTCTTGAGGAAGGTTAATTCATCTGAGAATCCTCCTGACTCTTCCTTAAATATCCTTCCTTGACAGTGCTGACTGTCAGGTACAGTTTGACTGTTGCGTATTACCCTCCTTAATCTGTGAACATAATACTTCCTATTCCCATTCTGGATTTAAATTATTGACTGGCAGGAACTGAAGGGGAAGGAAGCAAATCCAGAAAGGTGCGATTGTGGAACAGTTGGCCCAGGTCACTCTCTTAAACACATTGACATACTTTGCTCCCTCAGTTTTCCACTTTTATTTGTCTTTTCTTGATTTTCACAATTAATAGGATGGTTTTGCCAGAGGATGACCACAAATAAGGTGAACAAAATATTAATACAAAGATATTTTGTGTAGCTGTTGATGCGTAATTTTATCATCAATATCTGTCCTTACTCTATCCCAAGGTATGAAAATTGATCAACATTTTGCAGTGGTTTGTCATCGATCTTGATAATGGTGCAGAGGGCCCAGGCAGTGTTGTATCATGGGAGAAGATTGCAAAGAGGGACTTTGTGTTCTGAAACAAAAACAGAACTTGCTGGCGATATTCAAGAGGTCTGGCAGCACCTGTGGGGGAAAAAAAAAAGCAGAGTTGACATTTTGAATTCTGATGAAGAGTCACCGGACTTGAAACATTAATTTAACTTTCTTCCCCTAATGCTACTGGACCTTCTGAGTTTCTTGAGCAATTTCTGCTTTAGTTCCAGATCTCCAGCATCTGCAATTCTTTGTTTTATTTTGTAGAGTCATAGAGATGTACAGCACAGAAACAGACCCTTCAGTCCAACTTGTCCATGCCGACCAGATATCCTAAATAAATCTAGTCCCATTTGTCAGCATTTGGCCCATATCCCTCTAAACCCTTCCTATTCATATACCCATCCAGATTGTACCAGCCTCCACCACTCCCTCTTGCAGCTCATTCCATATATGCACCACCCTCTGTATGAAAAAGTTGCCCTTAGGTCTTTTTTACATCTTTCCCTACTCACCTTAAACCTATGACCTCTAGTTTTGTATTCCCCCACCCCAGGGAAAAGACCTTGTCTATTCACCCTTTTCATGCCCTTTTATAAACCTCTGTAAGGTCACCCCTCAGCCTCCAGGGAAAATAGCCCCAGCCTGTTTAGCCTTTCCCTATACCTGAAACCCTGCAACCCTGGCAACGCCCTTGTAAATCTTTTCTGAACCCCTTCAAGTTTCACAACACCCTTCCTATAGCAGGGAGACCAGAATTGAACGCAGTATCCAAAAGTGGCCTAACCAATGTCCTGTACAGCCGCAACATGACCTCCCAACTCCTGTACTCAATGCACTGACCAATAAAGACAAGTATTACAAACGCCTTCTTCACTATCCTGTCTACCTGCAACTCCACTTCTAAGGAAGTTTGAACCTGCATTCCAAGGTCTCTTTGTTCAGCAACATTCCCACGACCCTACCATTAAGTGTGTAAGCCCTGCCCTGGTTTGCCTTTCCAAAATGCAGCAGCTCACATTTATCTAAATTAAACCCCATCTGCCACTCTTCGGCACATCTGATCAGAGTCCCATTGTACTGTGAGGTAAGCTTCATCTGTTCTGAATGCTCATCCTGTACTTAAAATTATGCCTTTTGTAAAATCCTGTACTTGAGCAATTCCTCGGGATCGAGGATGACTTTCTTCCACAACTCCAGTTTTGGTGTCATGTGCAAACCTGCTAACTGTACCTCCTATGTTCACATCCAAATCATTTATAAATGACTAAAAGCAGTCGACCTAGCACCGATCCCTGTGGCACACCCTCTCCCTTCTGGATGTTTGACCTGTGCTGTCATATCGTTCATACATCAGCAATGGATTGGAGTCCAGCCTCTGCATGTCTACGCATGTACAAGTGTGTCTGCAGACTGCAGCTTGATGAGAGAGACTGGAGTGATCTTGGTTCTGGGCTCGAGGTGATAGATGTTGAACTCATGCCATGGATTAGCTCCTCACGAGCAGGAAGCTCCATGGTGACTCAAGGGTAAGGGAATGTTGAAGAAAGGAATCTGGGAAAATGCATTTGATTTGATTTATCATTTACACGTGTACCTAGGTACAGTGAAAAGTTTTGTTTCGTGTGCAATGCAGACAGATCACACCATACAATGATCGGAGGGTGATAGAACAGGGCGAGGAGTAGAAAGTTCTCTTGCAAAGAACATGCATAAAAAACAAGATCAGCATTAGATTTGAAATTTGGGAGGTGCTTTCAGAAGTCCAATAACAGCGGGGAATAATGTGTCGGCACGTGTGTTTAAGCTTTTGTATCTTCTGTCTGATGGAAGAGGTTGGAAGAGATTATAGCGAGGGTGGGAGGAGTCTTTGATGATGTTGTCTGCCTTCCCCAAGGCAACGAGAAGTATAGATGGGAAGTTAGCTTGTGTGATGGACTGGGCTGTGTTCACAATTCTCTGTAGTTTCTTGCGGTCTTCGGAAGAGCAATTGCCAAACCATAGTGTGATGCATCCAGATGGAATGCTTTCTGTAGTTCCTCTATAAATGTTGGTGAGAGTCCTTATGGACATGCCAAATTTCCTTAGCCTCCTGAGGTAGTAGAGGCGTTGCTGTGCTTTTTTGACCATCACATCGATGCGGGTGATCCAGGACAGATTGTTGGTGACCGTCACTCCCAGGAACTTGATGCATGTCGTTGTGACACAGACTTGCTTGACGCCAGTCTGCAGACATACTGTGGTGAATCCAGATCTGTCAATTTGGAGGGACTATTGAGTGTCCTCCTCCAAGGTGGTTGTCCACAGAAACTTCTGTTACAGGATATTGGATAGGGAGTTTCAGCAGTTGCGAAATTAAGACCATATATCAAGTCAACATCTGACAGATTCACTTGAATCTGCTTATCATCAGGAAAGGGGCAACATTTGCCTGCTCTGTGCATAGGAAATGGTTTGAATCATCAATATGACTGGAAAAGCACTAACACACACATACACTCAAACCCTGAGTGTGAGTATTCCAATGCACT